TTGCACTTCAGATAGGTGCTCATAAGCTTTTAAGACCTCACTTGCTACTCATCAGGGTCCAGTGCAGAAAGTTGAACTACATTGTGCCAATTAATGCTGGTGTCAGTCCCCCGAGGTGTTTGGTTAAGCTAAGAAGTTTTCCTAACGTAGTCTATTGTAAGCTCCACCACAGTCATGGATATCTACTCAACAAGGGTAGATACACAAATAGACAAATATCCACTGTCAAACCTTCATATATTTGTGAGTATGAATATAGATCTAATCATCTTCTATTGCTGGATTGTGCATTTAATAGTAATTGCCCCTGTTGCCTTTAGCCCTTGCAAATATCCCCGTAGCTTCCTCTGCCTCCATCATTTTGGGCTGACTTGATGCTTTGTATCGGTTCATTTCATGACGACAAAGACAGATTCGACCACTTCTGTCTGATGCTGTTCACCCCCCAAGGTGATTCTGAAGTGGGGGTCGAAGGAGGCATCAAGTGTTCATTTTCACATTTGCTCCTAGTGTACTGTTCTATCTACTTTACCCTTTCACTGGTGGAACTCGGGCATACCACTAGAAGTATTTCATATTTGTTTTCAACTGGCTGGGTGTCTGCCATTTATTTTAGGTGAGATGCGTATTGTGAGGTGTACAAACCTCAGGTGGCACATTCCTTGGGTTTTGACAAATGCTCAGACCCTGTAACCACTGCGCTTACGAAAGACCACACTTGACCCTCTCAGAGTTCCCTGAGCCCCTCCTGCCTCCACCCCAAGCACTCTCTGTTCTGAAATGTTCATTCGTTTGACACTTTGGGGAGCTCCCTGCAGTGTGAACTCATTTGTATCTGGCGTCTTCCATTGATCCTAGTTTTGAGATTATTCTATGGTGTGCTCATTTTTTTCCTTCTTTGTGGGGTTGAATAGTCTTCTGCTGTATCAGTCGTCCAGAGGGTATTTTCCCTATGGAGGAACTCCCTGGAAAGTTCCAGTTTGGAGTTGTTTTGAACATTCTTAAGCCAATTCTCATTGTATGTAGATTCTCTCATTTAGCTTAAGCTTGTACTCAGGAGTGGAGCCATTGAGTCATAGGGAAGGTGGATGTTTAGTTTTACAAGAAACTCAGAAAGTTTTCAGAGGTTACACAAGGTTGTGCATACCAACAATGTGTAAGAGTTTCAGTTCTTCCGCAAGATTTGGTGTGGTCAGTCATCTACATTTTAGCCTTTCTGGTGGGTGTGTGGAGAAAACACACAAATGACCATGAAATCTATCCATCCATCACTGCTTGTCTATCTGTCTCTCTCCCTCATGCACACCAACAGGAGCTCTAGGCCTTTCCGAGCCCCAGAGTCCTCAGGTGTTTTAACAAAGCATCTGAACAGAGAGGGGATGCACAATGTGCCAGGTCTTGGAGTACTTTAACTAAACGTTTGAAATGACAATTCCTTTTCTAAAAACAGCCTGTCCCTCTTCAAGGACTCGGTGAGAAAGCCCAGCTCTGATCTCCAACAAGAGCTTCGCAGACCAAGGACAGTGACTTTCCATCGCAGCCACTGTGGTTCTGCAAGTCCCCAGGTTCCCCGGCGCACACGAGGCCCCAGCAAGGCATTTATCCTGCAGAAAAAAGTCTGCAGTTCAAGCTTCACAACAGGGAAGCAAGCAACACCTCACCACACAGAGAGACCGATTGACATGGGGACGCTGACTGTTGATCCTCCCTTTCCTGTGCTTTAGCAAACATGTGGCACAGTCTTTTGATCATAGGGATTCAAACCTTCCCCCAAATTTCAAGCAGGGTTCTAGTTCCCCAAAGATGGGCTGCAGTGCCCCAGGGGATGTAAGCCGAGGCCTAGGGCTTTCTTCCTAAGGCAACTTTTTAACAAGCCGGGAGAGCGGGAGGAATGGTTGTGGAGACCACCACTTGAAACCGGGCCCCGGAGCTAACCCACGGCTCCTTTGTCTATCAAAAGGAAGCACTTTCTCCCTCGTAAGGGTGTTATAATAATTAGATGACAAATGTCAAGTTGTTAGCACCTTGGAAGCCTGTGAGAGGGGGCTGCTGTCACTGGACAAAGCTTATCCTTAAAACCTCCCGAGTTCACAAAACCTTCTTCCTCTAGCTCACAAGCCTCCTCTGACGTCTATCCAGGTTGATGAGAGAAACAAATCCAGAGACACTCAATGTGTGCAAGAGGGATCTTTATACCAAAGCACAGTTGTCTATTGGGAAAACAGCCCAGCCCAGACCAAGTCCGTAATTTCTATATCAGCCCATATGCCCGATACTAGTTGATCAATTCCTCTTTAGACTCACACAGCACATGCAGTGATGCCGAGGGCAGGAAGCTCACAGGCCGGTGGGTAGAAAGCCTTTGTGGTTCCGGTGACGATGGAGGCATCTCCTGGGCTCCGGCTGCCATCCAGGGTGTGGCCCCGTGTGGCTTGTCCACAGGAAAGAGAGAGAGAGTGGCCCGTCTCCTCATACAGAACCTAGAGAGAGGAAGTTCCCAGAAACCTCATGAGAAGGCCACACCCACAAGGGCATCATCGGGTTGTGACCCGATTGACAAGCTAGACTCCACCCCTCCTTCTTTTAGCAAGTTGACATGAAATTGTGGAATTGCCACACCCAGAGAGCACCACACTGCCAACCTCTGATGGCGTTGGCTTTCTCTGTAAGCTCGGGTGCTTTGAGGAAGCTCATGCGCGGAGTCCTTTGTGCGGAGCTGTGACTGACTGGTGGGTTTTGACTTCAGAAGAAAATTCAAATCCTAGAAGAATTCTTTTTCATCCGTCTGGATCTTTCATTGTAAAATGGGCGATGATTGGGAAGGCAGACACAGCTAATTACGGTCAGGAAGCTTCAATAAGACCCTAACACCAGTGGGGTGTGACTGGCAGGAAGGTCCTTAGGCACTGCTTTTGCTGAAGAGGCTCATGAAGTGACCCGTCCATAGGGACTTCAGC